TCTAACCATTGGAACCTCTACATCCTTCATTATATCCTCCAATGATGCCCTTTCCAGAATGTCATAGTCAAATTTATTATCTCATTTACCCTTAAGAGGTCACTGTATCTCTATATGGCATTACTCATTTTGCTTTTTTTTGTTATTGTTGCTGTCATGTCTGATTATACCCATTAGAGCTGTGGCTATTCAATTTAAATTAATTAAAATGAAATAATATGAAACATTCCTTTTTTTTTTTTGCCTGCAATAGCCACATTTCAGTTGCTCAATACCCACATGTAACTCATGGTTTCTATATGGGATAGCACAGATTTAGACTCTTTTCACCATCACAGAAAGTTCTATTGGAAAAACAGTATGTTAAATCATAAGCTTCTTGAAGGTAGGGGCCATATCATTTAAATTAATAAGGTTCAAAACAATAAATTAGTACATGTAAAATATGAATATCTCTGTTGACGTGGGGCAAGAAGAAAGATCAGTATTGTTTGGCATGTAGACACAGAACTGCATGATACTTAGGAAGATAATATTAAACTGAAAAGGAAGACAAGTAAGTTATATCTGCTTGAATTATATTATGTAGGTAATCAGTGATTCAAAACAATCATAAAAATCACACATATTCAATTTTTAACAAATGTGGTTACAATGAAGTAAATGGATTAAAGAGATATTTGATTTTCATCTACCAATCCAAGTATACAGAATATCTAGTTTAAATTCCTATTCAATTTTTTTCAGAACAAAATTATTGGAAATATAATTTTAAAGAAGTAGTATATTCTTTAAAATGTATCCTCTAAAAATTCTAAGAAATTCTGGATTATTACAAAAAAAAAAAAAGGCACTTCTATTTTTTACTAGTAACTAAAAAGTAAGTTACTGTGTTTAATGAAACTTGAAAAATATCATGAAAGTATTTGTTTGATGGTCATGTATTTCCATAAATTTTTGTTCTGTGCATACATTGATCTTTAATGTCAGAATATTGTCCATAATCAGGATGGGAATTCTGCACGAGGTAGGCCTGTTATGGCCTTGGGCTCTGACTTGGCCACTGACTGACAGTGTGGTCTTGGGCAGATCACTGAAGAGCTCCAGAAGTTTTCCCTATTTGAAGACGGGGCCGCTGATCTTTACCACACACATTTGTTGTGAAGTTTATGAAAATAGGCATTGACGCATCAAGCACCTCTTCGACGTGCCCATGCCTGTAGTTCAATACTGAGCTCAAAATTTGCCAGCGCCCTTCCTTGTGAACCCATCTGTGTCTTTTCCACCTAATTTAGCCAAATTACCTGCGATTCCATACTTGATTGATTTTTTTTTCCGTTACATTTTTGTTTGTTGTCATTGTCCATCTATAGACCTTTTCTCTTTTACATGTCAGTTTGTTGGCAACAATTACAAACTGAGACAAAGAAAAGAACACTATAAGGGGGTTTTATGACAGAAGTAGCCTATGCCATTCACCTCGAGAGTAGCTTAAAATAGCCAAGTCCCTCAGGATTAAAAGGGATTCTAGAATATTATGGGCCACTTTGTACACCAAGAACAGCAGCATTCCTTATTTGACTGAGCTGGCCTGAAGAGTTGTATTGAGCAGTGACAACATTTATCATTCTAAGAACCATTAGCACACGGGGTCGTATTCACCTGAACAACACTGTTATGACTTTGGAGAAGGAATAAATAGCATTTCTTAGCCTGGTGTTCATTAGCCCCCTTCCAACACACACCACACACACACACACACACACACTTTATCTGACCTTATTTCCACGGTTTTGTTCATTTGAACTCTTTCCTTTGATTATTACTTCTTTAACCAATTTGCTCTGTATGATATGGAGTTAGGGACATGAAGTTTCTGAATCCCATGTTTTGACTACTACTTAGTTAATCTCTTACCCAAATCTCTCATCTGTGTAATAAGAATAAAAATATTTACCTTGTATAATAATTTTGTTTTGAAATTTAAGAGAGAAATAGATGTTTAAAAAATTCCTGACATGCTATCTTAATAAATATTAATAATTCCCTACTTTATCTTTTAAAGAGGGAAGTTGTTAGGATCTAATGAGAGAAGAACATAGAATTTGAGTGAGACGTGGGTTCAAATCTTGGTTCTGCCACTTATCAGTTGAGTGTCCCTGGGGTATATTTTTATCTATTAAAATAGTTTCCCAATTTGTGAAATTGGAATAATAATTTCTACTTCATGCATGGTTGTGAGAATAATGTAAAATGTATATAACTACCCTGTACTAGTCCTGGTATCTCCCATACATTAATAAGATATTACTAAGACACTTTATTCCAATTATTATCTGTGGTCTAACTTATGTTTAGCTACTTCCAACATATCTTCCACTGGATTATAAGATTCTAGAGGATTTGACTCTTCTGTCTGCCAGCCTGATTACCCCCTGATCACTTCCTTGCCAGCCTGATTTGACTCTTCTTTGAACTTTATAGAACCACCTAGACTAGTACCCAATGAGTTACGCCAATGTTTGTTCAGCTTCTGGCTAGCAGAAGAAATGCCTGAGAGTTTTGGCCTGTTCATTCGTCAAACCCCACCCTCAGGATGGCCAATAGGAGAAAACAGGTTTTAATAAATCATTATTTGTAATGGAAGCTTAGTCAAATTAATGGGTTTTCCAAACATAATGACATAAGAATTACATGATCTGACTAGAACTCTATGAAGGATTATGTGCTTGGCTCACATTTATGTATTATCCATTAATTTATTCTGAACCTAGGCTCTGTCTACTGCCTTACTTTAAAAAATGTATGTGTGGTCTATTCATGTTTATTATGAAACTAGAGCCCTGACGCTTGAAGTTCATGCATGGAGGGGCGGTAAGGGGGGGAGGGCTGCATCCTCTCCAATCTGGGACCCCTCGAGGGGATGTTTGACTGCCCGTTTTAGGCTTGATCCCGGTAGGATCGGGCCTAACGGGCAGTCGGATACCCATCTCACAATCCAGGACTGCTGTCTCCAAGATGCTGCCTGCCTTCCTAATTGCCTCTAATCACTTCTGCCTGCCAGCCTGATCACTCCAAAACCACTTCCTTGCCAGCCTGATTGATGCTTAACTTCTCCCTTACCATCCTCTTTGCCCCTAACTAACCTCCTCTGCTGGCCTGATCATCCCTAACTGCCCTCCCCTGAAGGACTCTCCCCCCACAACTGCCCTTCCCTACAGACCCAGTCACCCCCAACTTCCCTACTCTGCTGGTCTGGTCACCCCTAACTGCCCTCCCCTGCAGGCTTGATCACCCCCAACTGCCCTCCCTTGTAGGCCTGGTCCCTCCCAAGTTCCCTCCCTGCTGACCACTTTGTGGCAGCCACCTTATGGCAGCCACCTTGTGGCAGCCACCTTGTGGCAGCCATCTTATGTCCATATGGAGGTAGCCATCTTTGACCATCTTGTGTGTTGGAGTAATGATCAATTTGCATATTACTCTTTTATTAGATAGGATAGAGCCTGGTGCATGGGTGCGGGCTAGCTGGTTTGCCCTGAAGGGTGTCTTGGATCAGGGTGGGGATTCCCTTGGGGAATGGAGTGGCCTGGATGAGGGGGCCTGTGGTGGTTTGCATACCAGCCATTTCCCCCTGGTAACCCAAGCAGAGGCCCTGGGATCTGGGGAATTATTTATCTTCTATAATTGAAACTTTATAGCCTTAAGTGGAGGCCAAGGCAGGCCAGGGCTTCAGAAGCTTGTTTTTCTCCATCCCTGGGGCAACTGAAGCCTCCTGCTCTCTCCAGCTCCCTGGATGCCACCATTTCTGTTGGGATTTATTTCTCTTCTATAATTGAAATTTTGTAACCTTGAGTGGAGGCCTGGGACCACCAGGGTGTGTGGAAAGCTAGGCTTCCTACATTGCCAGGGAAACCCAAGTCTCCTGCTAGCTCTGTAGCCACAGCCATCTTGGTTGGGTTAATTTACAAAATCGCTCTTGATTGGCTGGTGGGTGTGGCTTGTGCATGAGGCTGAGTGATGGTTAATTTGCATATTACTATTTCATTAGATAGGATACAGCCCACTACTTAGATGCTCCTGATATGTGCCATATTCTTTAATGTACTAAAATTAATTACCTAGGAGCATGAAGAGTAATTTTAAAACATACCCTTGCCAACTAGAAAACATAATTTTAGAAATACATATTTCAATGTCTTTGAAATAAAATGGCAAAACACTGAAAAATTTCCAATGCTATTCAAAATTGTATCTTTGTGTGCAAAAACAAAAATATTCTGTACAATATATCATTTCATGCACTACCCCCATGACATAAGTTTTACTTTATTTCTTATTGAAAGAAATGCAGAAAACAGAAAGTTGAATATCATGTCTTAAAATGTCACAAAATGTGGCACAATCTGAATAAGATTTTAGGATTTTGGCCTATCTGATTTCTTATTTTGAGCTTTTTATGTGATCTTGTTTATGGAGAAATAAAAAACAAGTAATCAGTTTATGATCTGATTACTATGTATTAATTGTTTTCAGATCATAAGAGATGCAAGCTTCCAGTTTTCTGTCATGTTTATTTAACATTTCTCTGTAAACCAGTAAGGCCTGTTTTATTCAATCTTAGCCAAACCAAATATGATTCCTGTGTTTTTTTCATTTGTATTTGAAGATATAGAAAAATACCCATCATTATAGTGTTTACTGAAGTGAAACTTGTGATTATATGAATGCCTAATGGATTTGGAAAAAAGGCTGACAAATTAAAAAATACTTAGAAAGATCAAATGTGTTTGTCCCTTCCATTTATTTGTGGCATTTTGGGTGTGGGAGGAGTAGAGCTGAATTTTCTCTATTGCTTTTAAGTAAGATACATGAGAAACACTTTTTGGATAAATACTATGTAAAGTTAATAATAAGAAGAGTTTATTTCCTTATACCGTTTCCTGATTTTAATTTTTTTTCATATTCCTGTTTTTATTTATTTTTTCTTAATTTAATTTTAGAGGATTGTTGAAGTATCAAACCAATATAGATACCCACCCTCCAGGCTGCATCAATCTTAATGGAACCCGCTACCGGAATACTCACTTACCTGAAAATCTCTCAGAATATTTTCATGAATCTTTTCCTGGAGGGTTTTCAAAACCAGATGAGGTTACCCAGAACACATCTGTGAAGATTTGTCAGGAAGAACCCAGGTTTCAAGCTAACTTTCCACAGGTCAGATTAATTTTATGTGTTTGATGGTCTCTGCAAAGTTAGTATTTCCATAGCAATCGGTCAAACATGTTTTTGAAGTACATAAATCAATTATTCTTACAGAACATTTTAGAATGTTTCAATAGCAAGTTACTGCATTCCATGATAGGCAGCTGACAGTTCAAGGAGAAAGACCTGTGGCATTATGGAATATAACTGACCAAATGCTCTTTATATACTATGGCTCTGGTGTTTGCCACAAGGAAGATAACAAAGATATGCTCCCCATCCATTGGGAAAAATAGGATGAATATTAAAAACAATAGTGAAAGAACTAAAACTAATATTTATCATAGTATAGTAGACTGTTATGGTACAATATTATAAATAATAAATTAAAAATTTATTGACTGCTTAATATTATCTGCTAGGCAGACATTATCTATTAAATGAACTGTATATATAATTTTTTCAATAGTCACAATAACCATTACTATAATCCTCAACTACTAACACCCTCAATTTTCTAATGAGGAAATTGCTGCTTGCATCTGTAAAATATCTTGATCAAACTCTACAAATGAACCCTCCAAGGAAATAGAGTGCAAAAAACTAGGTCTTTGAGTAAAATGTTTGCTCTTGGAATACTTTCCCAAGGGCCATATGTTCCCTCGAGGCTTTGGAGCTGCCCAGGTGGGAATTATGCCTTGTAATCTTTGTACCAAGTGGAAGTAGGGGAAATAGTGACGTAGAGTGTCTGTTTGAAGAAGAAGAAAGTAAATTATAAAATAAAGGTAGTCAAATGCAAGGTGACAGAAAGACACTAGACTTCTGTATAAGAGTATATAGATATTGTATTATAAAGTTGCACACCTGAAGTTTAAATCATGCTATAAACCAGTGTCACCCCCAATAAATTTAATTTAAAGTAAAAAAAGAAAGATGAGTCAAAAAGTAGAGTGATTTGTTGATGGCTTTGGAATGTGTGTGTTAGTCTTGTGTTTATTATTAATCCTCTAGGTTTCTATTAAGCATTACAATTTCCAAACGTTCTTGCAATATGTTAGGAAGGACAGGTATTGTGACTCCCATTTTACTTATGTGCAACTTGATGTCCCAAAGTTGCAAAACTGCTGCTGCATTGCTGAGCTTGTCCTGTGATGCTTACACGTGGTGCCAAACTAAATGTCAGGAAAAGGCATGTTCTGTCTGCAGAGGAGAGGAAGGTCCAGGGTAATTGTGTAAGCAGGTTTTAAAAAGTGACCACTAAGGTAAGTTTGGGTTAGAAGTCTGCAAGTGCTGAGGGAAGTATAGTGTGCAGTTTAGGAGAAAGCTTGGCTTCACAGCCTTCTGGACTCCCCAGAGTATGCAGGGCATTCTCTCCAGTACGCGTGCAAAATTGTTACGCTTTCCAGATTCTAAATATAATCTTAGATGTTCATGTTAGATTTATGATGTGAAAGTAAGTTGTAAACAGCATGCCTCGTTGATACCATATTTAAAAAATATGTTCACATATTTTACATTTTGTGTATGTGCATTATGCATTAAAATATCTAAGTAGTTTTTTTTTTTTTTTTAACAAACATTGAACTGGTACAATTTATTTGAGCTTTAACTTCCTTTTTTAAAAATGTTTTTTACTGATTTCTAGAGAGAGAGGAAGGGAGAGGGATTGATTGCCTCCTGCACACCCCTCATTGAAAATCAAGCACCAAACTGGGTCGTGTGCCCTGACTGGGATTAGACAGGTGGCCTCTTGTCTCATGGGTTGACACTCAACCACTGAGCCACTCTGGCCAGGCTTAACTTCCCTTTTATCTCTCTTTTGTTGTGTATATAGAAGGGTATATGAAACACTGTATGATTTACGGTTAATGGTAGTTAGGCCCTGAGTGACAGTTTGCGGGTAGGGTCTTGCTAGTACTATACCTTACTTTTATTTTATACTTTACTCTTTATTTGAATAACTTGCTATACGAATCTGTTATTTGTTTACACTTTATTTAAAACTAGAGGCCTGCAGCACAAAAGGGGGTGGTCCCTTAGTCAAGCCTGCATCCTCTTGCAACCCAGGATGCCTGGGGGATGTCTGATTGCCAGTTTAGGCCCAATCCTGCAGGGATCAGGATCGGGCCTAAACTGTTAGTAAGACATCCCTCTCTTAATCCAGGACTGCTGGCTCCTAACCACTCACCTGCCTGCCTGCCTGATCTCTTCTATCCACTCTGCCTGTCTGCCTCATCGTCCCAACCACTTACCTGCCTGCCTCATCGCCCTAACTGCCTCTGCCTGCCTGCCTCATCGCCCCTACTTGCCTGCCTGCCTGCCTGATCACCCCTAACCATCTCTGCCTCAGCCCCCGCTGCTATGGCTTCATCCAGAAGGCCATCCGGAATGATGTCTGGAAGGTTGTTCAGCTGTCCAGTCTAATTAGCATATTATGCTTTTATAACTATAGATAACAGATCACAATATTTTTACTGTAGTGTGTGAAATAAACAATTAGACAAGATATAAAGAGTCTTATAATGCAAGTATTTTTTAAAATGCATTTCAAAAATTCTCTGTAGACTTGGCTTTGGATTTCTGGACCTTTGTGCCTGTATTGTGCTGAAAGGCTTTACAGGTGCATCCGGAGTAATAAGCCAGTCACCATCATCTCTGTCATCAGTCACCCCTCAGATGTCATGGAAATTCGAATGGTCAAAGAAAATTTTAAAGCAAGACCTGGCCAGGTGAGTCATTGTTCAGCAACTTTTAAAATACCTTTTATTCCTTTTTGTTCTTATTCTTAGGATTTTTTTTTTTCATTGATGTTTTAGAGACAGTGGAGATGGAGGGATGAGATAAAGAGAGAGAAACAGATTTGAGAGAGACTGATAAATTGGTTGCCTTGACTAGGACTGGGGATCAAACCTGCAACTCAGGTATATGCACTTGACTGGGAATCAAACTCAAGACTCTTCAGTTTAAGGGCCAACACTCTAACCACTGAGTGAACCAGCTAGAGCATAAAATACCTTTTTTTTTTTTTTTTACATAGTTTTTGAAAATTAGCTGACAAGTGTCATATTAGAAAATTAAAAAACTTCTCTCCCTTAGTCATTTATAATTTGTTTGTTGCTTTTTATTACTCTACATTGTCCCAGTGTGTCTGCATTAGAAAACCATCCATTCTTAGTCATTTATAATTTGTTTGTTGCTTTTCAGTATATTACTCTACATTGCCCCAGTGTGTCTGCATTAGAAAACCATCCATTTACCCTCACAATGGTAAGAAACTTGTTTTTTAAATTTTTTTTTAGAGAGAAATACATATCTTACTTTTTAATACTCCACTTCATTTTAAAAGTCATTCAAGGCTATCACAAGATCCTTGTTTAAGTAAGCCATCTTTTTGCAGAGAAATATGATTATCTGTACAGAAATGTTGTAACTATTAATTATTATTTTATGTTATTTTAAAAATCAAAGAGTAATATATTTTAAATTTATTAAATCTTTTTTTATTCAAAATGCATAATTTTTTTTATAATTGCACTTTTTCTTTTGTGGATTATGTGCCAAAATATAATCTGTGCATGATTTTATTTAAAGAGACTAAATTTCTTTAAAAAATGGGGTTGAGGTAGATGCATAAGAAAATCCAGTGTTTAGACAAGAAAAAGTCCAGTGTCATTGATACCCATCCTACAAATGGGAGAGAAAAATGAAAATAAGGTTTTTAAAAAAAAAGTAAAATGAAATAATAATGAAGGGGGCTAGCTAACTAATGGAATCACCAAATATTTTTGCACATTGTTTAACATTATTTGATGCATTCTAAAAATGCATCAGTAAATAATTCACAAGTAAATAAGAAAAAAATAGGAACTTTTACTCATTTCCCCTTTTCAAATTATTTTCTTTAAAGTTTAACATATATTCTTCTATACATTTTATTCTATAATTTAGCAAATATAGGTGTTTGACATATTTGATGAATAGTTTGTTTTATAATTTTCTCTTTTCACTCAGCAATATATTATGGGAAACTTTTCATGATACTTTTTATATGTCTCACTCTTTTTTATGACTACATAATATTTTATAAGTTATTTAGTATTCCCCATTGATGATAGGGATTAAGATTTTATTCCATTTCTAACTAAGGTAACAGAACAGGGACTGCATGTTTAAGTATGTGCTTAAGATATGCAAATAAAATTGAACAAATTATAGGGTGAAGAGATAGATACATAACTGGTTTGACACCAGTGCTGAGATGTAGGATGGAAAACTGCTATAAATTTGATATGCCTCTTGAGAATAGTACTTGGGGAGAGAGAGAGGTCAGAAAAAAAAAAAAATCTACATTTAGCGGATAAAAAAACCAGAAAGGGAGTGTTAGATGGTTAAAGAAAAAAGAGAAGTTATTTGGATAAATAGTTGCAATTCTTTAAAGGAAAAACTTTCTTCATTGCTTCAAATTTCACATTCTGTTTAAATGTAATAAAATTATTTATTATTGATTATGAGAAAAGCATGGTGGTTACCAAAGGGAAGGGAGGTAGGGGATAGTAAAGAATAAAAGAAGTCAAATATAATGGTGATATAAGAAGATTTGACTTTGGGAGCTGGCCACACAATACAATATACAGACAATGTATCATAGAAATGTACACTTGAAAGCTATATAATTTTATTGACCAATTTAATTTGAAAAAAATAATATGTGGTTTGGCATATAGTGAAACAACTAACAACATTCTATTATGTCAAGAAATATTTAAGTTCAGGAAGGAGATGGATGAAGGCAAAGAGATTGGATGCTTAGGATTCTATATTCATGAGATTTTATGAGACCATATGTGCACCCTACTTTGAATAGGTCTAGGAAATGGTTTGTACCCTTCCCAGATTTAGAGGAATTAATAGCTGGCTCACTTATACTATCCCCCAAGGAGCTAATCTTGCTGCTGTCTAGAAAGGAATTTGAGTAGAGAAAACATTTTTAAGCTAAATTTTACACTATGCTGTTTTGTTAATTTACTATTGTTGACTTTAGATAGACAGCAACCAGATATTTCTCCAGAAAATTGGATTTATTTAGGAACAACAAAGAACTGCAATTTGGGACATATTCTAATGGTGAACCACATGCATGTTCAAAGAAGGAAAGAGAAACTTCCTTTTACAGAGGAAAAGGCGGTTCAGAGGGGTTATAAACAAAGTGTCCACTGAAGAGACTGGGAGTTTGAAGTGTAGTGGCTTTTCATTGGCTGAGTTGTAGCAGTCTTTCTTTCTTTTTTCTTTTTTTAAAATATATTTTATTGATTTTGTACAGAGAGGAAGGGAGAGAGATAGAAAGCTAGAAACATTGATGAGAGAGAGTCATCGATCAGCTGCCTCTTGCACACCCCCTACTGGGGATATGCCTGCAACCAAGATACATGCCCTTGACCGGAATCGAACCCTGGTCTCTTCAGTCCCCAAGCCGACGCTCAATCCATTGAGCCAAACCGGTCTCGGCAGCAGTCTTTCATTGGCTAAGTGGTTGCTGGGCAAGGAGAAGATCCTACTTCTTCCTGTTGGACATGGAAAGTATGTCTCTTCCTTTTTGGGGTCATTGGCTGTAAGTGGTGAGTGAGTAATCCTCCTATGGGCTCTCACAACTCAAATTTAAATGAGGTTTCTGTTTATTAATCAAACTATGTTTTCTTGCCAGTTCCCTTCCTTTTGTCCATTTAGTTCTATTTGGCACTTACATGTAAAATGCTTCTTAAACATTTTCACTAGAAAGGGTTCCTTTGAAATAAACAAAGCAAAAAATTAATTTCCTATGTGCTGATTCCCAATAAAAAGTGTGTACAAACCCTATCTTTGTCAAAGATAATAGTCCCTACGAATTAAATGCTTAAGAAGTTCCTTCCTAAACTTTGAAAACATTATATTGTTTAATTTTTGCTATATTTCTATGACACGTGTTCTACAAACTATATTTTATGTAGAAAACAACATGACTTCAAGAGATTAAATAAAGTCACACTGCTAGTTGGTGGCACAAGTGAGATACAGACCTGCCTGGCTGAACTGTGTGTTGTCACCTATTCTGCACAGTCTCTCTCTCGCATCACCACTCAGTGATGTTCAGAGCATTCATATTTCTAAAACTCTTATTGGTCATAGATATACTTGTTGTTGGTGTCAGACAACAACAACAAAAATTACCATTTAGGAGAGAACTGTACTGAAACTACCAAGAGACATCTTCAAGAGAAATATTCAATTGAAAGTTTTGGATTTTCTGTAGTTCTAAGCTCTTCAAATACCGTGGAGAGTTAACAGTCATATAAGTTTCCCTGCTAAAAAAAACTGTGACAGTAGAAGGGAAAATAAAATCTACAAAATATGCACAGAAGCATGAAAGCAATTTTCACAATTTCAGTCATGGTAAAACTAAATTTTGAGGACTGATTTAATTAGATACTCAAAGGTTGGAGTTTTAATTTCTTGAGGTGCTTCAGCATTTTTACACTTGACATTTATTTTCCTACACAAAGACATGATAATTTGGTGGGTTTTCCTAAAACGTTGTGGTTGTTTTCTGCTAGTGCACCTAAAAATCTCCGAGGGCAGAACCAGCAGGCATTTGTTTGTTGGTAAGACTGAAGGAGAGAAAAGGTAATCCTATACTATTAGAACATGGATTTTGGAATCCTAGACAGTTTGGATTGGAAAATTAGATCCCCCACTTATTAGTACTATATCCTTGGGTGAGATAATTAACATATTTATCTTTGGTTTGCTTCTTTATAAAGTGTGGGTAATCATAGTGACTTCTCTATGGAGTTACTGTGGATAGGAATTTAAACAGATACAATAAGTGCTGATCATGAAGCTTGGCATATAGTAAGTTCTCAGTAAGTTAGAAATTGTTATCTACTGTCTCGTCCACATTTTATCTTTCATAATTTGGTGACACCTCTCCATTTTTGTTGCCTCTCCCCATGACACCTTTGCTATTATGATTTTTATTTTTATATGCTATGGTTGTTGTTTTAGATAATGAGTATAGAACCAAGACAGGATTAAATTGATTCCCCCTCCTCCCCCCCTCATTTTGCAGCATGAACTAACTGACCAAGCTCTGGCCACAGTCTGGTTTAGAAGCAGTAATTTCGGGGACAGATGATTTATTTGCCTCTTGTGGTTTACTAGCAGTTAGGATGACAGATGGACCTTTATTGGCTGAAAACGGGTAGAATTTTACGTGTTGTTCTTCAACTATGTACTGGATCTCTAAGTATTTTCCAGCTATACTCTGTAATTGCCAAGTTTGGATTTTCTACCAAAACAAACATCTTATTAAAGTATGCTCTCATCTAATTTAGATGTAGGAATCAGATATGATTTTAAAAAGCTCAAACTTAAAACATGAAAACTACTGCTTACTACAAATTGTAGCTTCTCTTACTAGTTAATTGAGTCAGACATTTATTATGCTTATTGATATGTGTCATAGACTCTCAAAGAAATAATGCACAATATACTTTTTTATGGTGGTAATAGATTGAAGCTTCCATAAATATATCTATATCCATTCCTTATTATTTTAATTCAGAAGTACATATAACTTTCCTGACAGCTGTATTCTAGATTGTGTGACTCATGACTCTTAAGCTTGGATAACCTAATTTCACATATTTTTCCATGAGTCAGAGGCAAGTTTAGCTGTTAGTTTGTTATTGTCTGTACTCTAACATAGCATGCCTTCACTTGCCATCATTGTTCTGCTTTGTGTTTTTAATCTCTCAACCAGTCACTTTGGGAATAGTCTTTCCAGTTTTCAATGAAAACCAGACAAGAATGGCCATGCATGGCTTAAAGATTGAAAATATTTATTTCATTTCATGGATTTAAATATAAGCAGGAAAGCTGCTTTGGTGGTTTGGATCTTGTGTCTTGCTTTCATCTATCTAATTCTTAAAAATTGCTTTCCTCTAGGGCTTTACAAATCTTTTAGCTTAGACAGCTTAGAAACTCAACTAGGATAGATGACAGGTTAGCAAGGCAATAAAGTGTCTTAACTCTAGACCATGCACAGTGGTGGAAGTTGCCACAGAAGGTCACTAATGTTCATGAAATATAACAGGACATCTGAATTCTCTGAAAGTTGAACATCATCTAATTGCTCAAGTCTGGCTCTTTTCCAGGGAAAAGGAATATATTTCTTCAGTGTATAGTGAGAGCCTGCATGATAAATATGACCTTTAATAGTTAGTGTATTCAGA